TTTTTCCCCCCCCCCCCCCCAATGCAACTGATGCGTGTGAATACACGTTGGTCTAGTAAAACAGTGCAAAGATAACTTGTAACATCATATAATTGAGTGTGTGTTTTTAAAAATATGCCTGATGTGAAATTGAATCGTTTCTTGGACTGAGAGGATAAAAAAAATATATATATGTATATAAATGTATCTGACACACGCAGAAACAGCCAAGAATAGCCTCGTTAAGTTTGCGGGAACAGATGATTAGGCGTCGGCCGACCACTGCCGTCAAAAGCACGACGAAAGCTAAAGAGGTACGGCGCCAAATAATGTGTATACACTTACTTACCTAAAGTTTGGCTTTCGTATCTCGTCTCTAAATATAATTGTTGCATGGAGTATCAGTATACGTACATCTATAAATATATACTTTGTTCGAGGGATTGGATAATCGACTTGTCAAAACAGAAATCCGCCTTATCGGCAAAGATTCTTTTTCTTTTTTCGTTCAGTTTTATCGTCGTGTTATTTGTCCGTTTCGCGTAAAAATATAAAAATTGCTCCGGAACTGAAGATCATTATGCATGACTTTTTTAATCGAGAATTTATCTGAAAGTTATCATTTTTGTGTTTTCGCTCAAACAATCATGATGTAACTAAAAAAAAAAAATACATGCTTACACGCCACGAATAAGATGGATTGAATTTTACAGATCGAACATTTCAACCCACGAACGAAAATGTACATGTTTTTGTATATTAACGCTTGTAATCGCTGTTTAAGTAAAAACAGTATTTGTCATGTATTTGTTTGTTTGTTTTTTTTTTCTCCATACGAGCAAATTACTTTGAGCTTTTAAAACAACTTTGAGGTATGATTCAAGTATTGCCTGCTAATTCGTATTACCATGTATTATATCTTGAAACCGCAGAGTCTGTAAAAATGATGTGCTGTACTACTTATCCGCCTGAGCTAATCGATTAGTTGCGCTTGAAAAGAAGTATTATTTATACAAGTGGAAATAAAATACGCCGATAATTTGCAATAAATAAATAAATAGATGGAAAAAAAAAAAAAAAAAAAAAAATCACCAGCCAGACAGAAGATATAAAAACACACGGCACGTGACGCTCCGATAGCGTATATTGTGTAACGCGTCGCGCAAGGAGACGCCGATGTCGCTAGACTCGGTTGAACGTTGACCGCCGGAGCTATCGAGGCTGATGGCAATTTCCGCGGCTGCAGCAAATAATTGCGCTTCATACTTTGCTCGCCCAATCTTTGTGTTTAACGTATATTATGTTTGTCAGCTCTCAAAAACTCGCGTACGCGCTCGCACTTGTGTTGCTCTTGTTTTTATATAGTTGTACCAATGTGACCCAATAATCGGCTCTCCCATTCTAACGTTGGCGTTAATTTTATATTTTTTTGCGCGTCGAGTGCGTAGGTACTTTTTTTTTATCCATCTCGTTTTATTTTTGTTTACTTCGTAGCGACGAGACCGTATACAGATAATGAGAAAGACGCATCGATTTTTCACTGATCCCGAACGCGCGTCAGATAACAGCTAAGACGCGCCGCTATTACCACGAGGCAGTTGTGCTGACTGCAGACTTTCATTGTTATCGCACGGCAAATGAAATACTTGGTATAATTTCCTCTCATCTTCGTCTGGATCGGTGTTGCCGCTGCAAGTGTAAAGTCTGGAAAATTGTGACAGCTCCTTCTAGATCATTGGCTCATTATTAATTCAATGTACAAACGTGGCGCGAGGAGTTTTCCTAAGTTGTTTCATTAGTATTTTTCTTTCTTTCTTTCTTTATTATTAACATCTTTCCTTACTATTCCCTTGATTTTNTCCGCCTGAGCTAATCGATTAGTTGCGCTTGAAAAGAAGTATTATTTATACAAGTGGAAATAAAATACGCCGATAATTTGCAATAAATAAATAAATAGATGGAAAAAAAAAAAAAAAAAAATCGGTTTGGTGACTTTAGTTTGCCGGCGGCGGTAAGAGCAGTAAGGCCGGCAAAGGGGAGACGACGGCGCTGAGCCGGAAAGAAAGCGACGAGAGCAGCGATAGAGAGACGGAGGAAAATTACAATCCAGATGCCTTGGCCAAGCAAAATTACGAGTTGCGTCATCGTCTGGAGGAAGAGGCGGCGAGCTACAAGAGGAGACTGGACACGTATCGGCAAGCACAGCAGCACCAAGCGGCCCTCGTCTCGCGTCTACAGGCCAAAGTATTGTATATGATTATCATGCTTCCATTTCACAGTGCACACTACATACAAATAAGCGTGTTACACGTGCCATTATTTATTTATTTCATCTGCGTAAGCAATTCGAATTATTTTTTTTTATTGGCGGGTTTTTGTTGATTTTGCGCATCAAGATCAAAAGTTGAATAGATGAAAAATCGGCCAAACCGATTCGCGGAGGTATCGTTGGTAAAAATAAACGACTTTTTTGTTTTTAAAACTAATAAAGAAAATCAAAAGCAAAAAAATAAAACGATTCATGAAAATAATTTTTTTCATATACATTTGATTGTCATTTGATATTTTAGTTTCGGAGATAACATTTATCCGTACCACGAACGATCGCGTAACTCGAAGGGGCACGTCGAGCTTTTTTTCAAACGAGCTTCCAAATTCACTAGATATTCGCCCGTATACTTAATGAATATCTGTACGCGCATCAGGTACTGCAGTACAAGCAGCGATGCTCGGAGCTGGAGAGCCAAATGTCGGCGTCGCTCCCGGCCGAGGGGGATCGGCTGTTGGCCGGGAGCTCCTACGCGGGGCAGTTACTGTTGCAGCACCAGCTGCGGGAAGAACAGATCACCGATCTCGAGACGGCCCTGAGGAAGCTCGCCGAGGAGAGGACCAGGTGCGAAAAACTCGCGGAGCTGAACTCTAGTCTGAAGGACCAGCTGGAGGAGTCCCACCAGACGAACGAGGCCCTGACGAGCGACCTGCAAAAGCTGAGCAGCGAGTGGGACGCGCTGCGGGAGGAGATGTCGGCCCGCGAGGAGGAGTGGAAGGAGGAGGAGATGGCCTTCAACGAGTACTGCAGCTCCGAGCACGGCCGGCTGCTCAACCTGTGGCGCGACGTAGTCTCGGTCAAGCGGCTCTTCTCCGAGATGAAGTTCGCCACGGAGCGCGACCTCGCCAAGATGCGGGGCCAACTCGACGCCACGCTCGGGGAGACGGTTGCCGCCTGCAGCAGCACGGGCTTCCTCCTCAAGCTCCAGGCGGCAGCTGCCGCGGCCTCCATCGTGCCCCCCCGAGTCGACGAGACCTCCCGGCCCACCGAGGGGGCCAAGGACCTACAGGAGAGACTCGACGCCGCCCTGGCCGAGGTCCGCGCCAGGGACGAGAGGATACGCCACCTCGTGGCCGAGGTCGGGTCACACCCCCACACCCCCTCACCCCGAGGTGCACTTAATAACGCGATCGCGCTCGCAGGCCCAGAAGCTGGAGGAGAGGTGCTCGGAGTTGGAGGCGAGCGCGAGCCAGAGGCCGAGGCTGCAGGAGGACCTGGACGTGCTGCAGTCGGCCCTGCGGGACATTGCCCACACGGTGATACAGGACGCCGAGGCTCGTGACTTCCAGGCGCTCGTGCCCCACGTCCACTTGAGCCCGAGCGTCGTCGTGGCCGGGCCGTCGACCGGCAGCCTCAAACGACGAGCCGCCGGCAACGCGACCCCCGCCTTCGCCGAGAGCACCATCAGCGCCGTCCAGGCGGCCCTCCACAAGTACCAACTGACTATTCACGAGCTACAGGTGACTGGCGTATTTATACAAACAATTGGTAAATAAATATTGTTAAATGATGTATTGTGCTCGGGGGGGGGAAAAAAAAAAAAAAAAAAATAGGTAAAGGTTCAAACGAGCAAGGAGCAGCTGGGAGTGTCGCGCAAGCAGTCCGAGGGACTGGAGGAGCGCGCGGGCGCGCTCGAGGAGCGGCTGGGTCAGCTCGTGGCCGAGTTGGACGGCACGCGGTCGGAGATCTCGCAGCTGAGCCAGGAGAGGGAGCTGCTGCAAAAGGCCCTGGACGGCTCGAGGGCCGAGAAGCTGGGGGCCGATAGGAGTAGGCTCGAGTGCGCGGGTAGCCTGGACAGTCTCGGCGCGGAGCGGGACCGGCTGGAAAAGCTCAACGGGAGACTGGAAAAGGCTTGCCGGGGCCTCGAGGACGACAAGTCGTACCTGCAGGGGGAGCTCGAGCGCGTGAGCAAAGAGTGCGGCCTCAGGGAGGGCAGCTTGCGCCTCGAGGAGGAGCGCTCGAGTAGACTGCGCGAGGAACTGCTGGCCGCCCGCGAGGAACTCGACAGGGTCCAATTGGCCAGGGAGGTGCTGGAACAGCAGGGCTACGAGGGCGAGGGCTACCTGGCACGGGCGGAAAAGGTAAACTCGAGACACATCCCAATGACGATGTACGGGTAATGTATGAAAAAATGTGTGGAAACCAAAGGCCCGGGCCGAGCTGGAGGTGGAGCTGGAGAGGGCCCTGCTGGATGGATCGGAGCTGCGGGAGGCCCTCGAGAAGGTTCAGGGGGCGCGGTCGAGCGCGGAGCGGGAGGCCGGCCGGCTGCAGGAGGAGCTGAGAGCCGCGACGGAGGAGAGGGTCCAGCTGGGGGGCCAAGTGGCCGACCAACTGAGCGACCTTGCCTCGTTGCGCAAGGAGCTGCTGCAAGCCGAGCAGGCACGGCTGGACTTGGACTCGGAAAAAGTGGTGGCACTCGAGCGGGCGCGCTTCCTCGAGCTCGAGAAGGACAAGCTCGAGATGGAGCTGGCCCAGGCTAGCCGCGAAAGGGCCGACCTTAGCAACCAGCTCGCCGCTCTGGCGAGGAAGCGCGAGAGCCTAGCTGAGGAGGTAATGACCCACGCCCACTTGCAATTTCCATACGAAAATCTGGGGGTATTGTTGTTGATCGGATTGTTAAATCGCGAGCAGCTCGCCCGAACGAAGCAGCGGCTGGAGCAGGCGAGCGAGATGAACGCGAGGATCAACCGGAGCCTCGAGGATCTCGTGAAGGAAGCCGAGGAGAAGCAGGTGTTGTTGGAAAACGGGGACAAGGAGGCCCAAAGGCTGCAGGAGCTGTTGACGTCGGTGCGGGGCGAGAAGGAGGCGCTGGAGGCCGTGTTGTTCGACGCCCAGGGCAACTTGGAGGCCAGCCACGCGAAGAGGGCCCAGCTGGAGAAGGAGCAGCAGGAGCTGCTGATCAAGCAGGAGTCCCTGAAGGGCCAGGTGCAGAGGTTGACCAGGGAGGTGGAGAACAGCGAGAAGCACGCGCGGGACGTCAAGCTGAGCCTCACGCAGCTCGCCGAGAAGCAGGAGACCGAGTTCCAGGCCGTGCTCGCGGGCCTCAAGAAGCAGAGCGAGGAGGCCCTCAGGAGGCTTCACGAAGAAAAGGTTTTTTCCACTCGTTCGAATCCAATGTGTGAAATGACGGTGCCTATATATTGTTTATATTTATTTTATTCCCGACCAACAGGAACAGACGAAGGTGGCGCTGGAAAAGAAGCTGCAGCAAAACCTCTCCCAGCTGGGCCAAGAGAGGAACAACGAAGTGGCCCAGCTGAACCAGAGGATCGAGGAGCTGCAGCACCACATCGAGAACATATGCCAACAGCACGAGGAGATCCTCCTCAGAGCGGAGAACGACAAGCAGCAGGCCCTCCTGATCGGTAAGGGTATACACGCGTACTGGACGGTTGCAGGGGATGAAAAAACAAACGAAACGTGCGCGTTTCAGCCCACCAAGACCAGCAAGTCCTGGTGGAAAAGCTGGAGAACACGTGCCGGGAGCTGGAGGGGGAGAAGGAGAGCGCCGAGCGGTTCAAGCGGGAGGCGGCGTCGCACGCCGAGCAGGAGCGCAACGGCATGAACAAAATGCGCGACGAGCTCAACAGGATCAAAAGCAAACTGGACGAAGCGAGGATCCGCGGGGAGGAGGAAAAGCTCAAGCTGGAGCTGAAAATCGAGGAGGTGAGGAGCGAGAGGGAGAGCGCCCTTAAGGAAATGGAGGAGCTCCACGTGCAGCTCCACATATCGGAGGACAGGGTAGACGAGCTTCACGGGCAGCTTCAGGAGACCAACCGCAAGCTCAAGGAGGGTAGGTGCCATTATCCATCGGGATATCGTTACGAGGGGAAATAAACGAATAAATAAAAAAAATGCGCTCCGTAGCCGAGGTGGCGATAGAAAATTCGCGGAAGGAGGTGGTGGACGTGCGCCGGCAGCTGACCGACTCGAACTTCGAGAAGGACAAGTACAGCAACAACAACCGGGAGCTGAGGGAGCGGGTGAAACAGGTCGAGGGGGAGAAGCGGGAGCAGGCGCGCGCCCTCGAGGAGCTCATGCAGAAGCTCGCGGGCTTCGAGGAGGCAAAGTTGGCGCTGGAAGGGGACAGGAGCCGCCTGCAGAACAACTTGCGCGAAACCGAGAGGGAAGTGCTGCAGTTGCAGCAACAGCTCAGGCTCGCGCAGGAGGAGCTTGATAAAGCTCAGGGCGCCAATTCCCTGGCGCAGAGCGCCGAAAAGGAGCTGCAAGCTCGTCTCGCCAGTGAGACCGAGGAGCGGGAGCGTATGCAGCTCCAGCTGCACCAGATGAAGAAACAGGTATTGTGTTGCATTACACTTTGAGCGAAAAAAACATTGTTAAAAAAAATTAAAACAATATAATCCGTTCCCAAGTATGGGCACGTGGTAGAGACAAGCCCCGTTGTTGACAGATGCAATTAAACGGCGCTAGGTTCAAGACTCGGTCGCATTCAATGCTCGTGAAAGTAACGCAATAAACGATATGAACCGATGAAATAATGACAAAGTCGTCCTCATAAATTATTTTACACATTTTTAAGCTCTTATTTTAAAAAAATCCCACGGCTCCGATGGAAAGTCGTGCGTATGAAAAAAAAAAAAAAAAAAATTCCAACTTGATGCATGAAATGGCCGTGCACAGACGGTGGATCTGGACAACAACCTTGAGGCGACGCGCCAGGAGCTGGGCAAACTGCGGTCCCACATGGACGAGGAGGACGAGCGATCCCGGGGCCGCGAGCAGGAGCTGCACGCCCGGCTGGAGGAGGGCCGTTGCCGCGAGCGCAAACTCGAGGACCACAAGCACAACCTCGAGGTATGCCTGGCCGACGCGTCGCAACAGCTCCAGGAGCTCAAGGCCCGCCTCGGGGGCTCGGAAGGCCGGGTGCGCGCCCTCGACTCCCAACTGTCGCAAATGGAGGCCCAAAAGAGGGAGGCCGAGCAAAAGCTCAGCAGCGTCCTCCTCATACTCAGGAGGATCGCCGGCGTACAGTTCGACGGCAGCCTCGGCTTGCCCTTCAAGCTCTCGGGACCCGCCAGGCGCTACAGCCCCGTGCGGGTGCCGGAACACTCGGACGGCAACCGCGAGCTCATCGTCGACGTCGACCCCGAGGCGGTCAGACGGGGCGTCAAGGCCCTCATGCAACAGGTGGCGCAAATCGAGCGCGAACGAGTACGTGTCGATTGTCATTTTCATCCACGGTACTGCAAATGATACGTATGTATGGGGACTATCGTTTTCCAGGACGACTACAAGACCGAGGTGGGCGGCATGAAGAAGCAGTTGGTCGAGGCCCAAGAGAGCCAGAGCAAGATCGACGCGAAGCTGAGCAGCGTGCAAAAGAGCCTGCGAAACCTGCAGGACGAGAAGAACGCCCTGGAGGCGAAACTCGGGCAAAAGCAGGCGCTCCTCCAGGGTGAGATGGAAAAGGTGCAGGAGAAGAGCAGCGAGGTCGAGCGTCTCCGGGAGAGGGTCGCGAGCCTCGAGATGGCGATAAGCACCGAGTCCGAGTCCAAGAGCCAGTGCGAAGTGAGCAACGCGGCTATATGGTTTGTCGTATACCTATACGCTATCCCATTAACAATACGTCATGTTTCAAAACCCCAGGACAGAGTGGAAAAGCTGAAGCAAGCCATCGCGAAGCTCGAGAGCGAGAGGCGGATGCTGAAGGACGAGTTGGGCAAGAGCGAGAACCGGGCCACGCAGATGGAGGTGCACCGAATGTCCCTCGAGGGCGACCTCCAGAGGCTGCAGATGATCATACAGGAGAAGGACGCGAGCGGCCAGGTACGTTGTACCCCCAACCCCATAGTCCTAACGCCCAAGGATTCGCAATAACCGAAAGTGCGTATAGAAAGTGCAAGAGCGTTGCGAGGCGCAGGCTCGAGCGATAACCAGCCTGGAGGAGAGGTGCGGCTCCCTGAAGAACACGATCGAGCAGATGAACCACTCGCTCGAGAAGGCCTCGAGCACCGAGACGGAGCTCAAGGCCGAGATCAACGGCCTGCACAGGAACCTCATCGAAGTAAACGCGCACTCGCAGAGCGACAGCGACAAGATCAAGCAGGTAATAACGTCATTGGCACCTGGAACGAAGCCGAGATGCGGAGGGTGTATAGGTATATGTATACCGTACAGGTGAGGTATCGATGTGTGACTTGTTGAAGAACTCGCCGATGAGTTGAGATATCATGGAAACATGTACCGAGAGCTCGCGACTCGCGGCGTAAGGGAAACAAAAAACGATAGAGAGTATATATAGTAGGGAGTCCCTGCGCACCTGATCCCCGCTTATGGGAGGGGGGTTGCTTGTGGGGGAGGAGGGGGTACTTTTTAAAAAAAAAAAAGTAAAACGTTAAAAGAAAGAGTCGCCAGTCGTTTAACTGTTGGGATGTACAGCTGCAGAGGCAGTTGTCGGGGGTGGAGAGCGAGCGTCGGGTGCTGGCCGAGCGACTGGAGAGCCTCCAGCAGAGCTTGAACGAGCTGCGGCACGCGAACCAACTGATGAGCGACCAGAACAGCCGGTTGCAGAGCGACGTGGCCAACAGCGAGATATTACGCTCGGGGCTCGAGTCGCAGCTGAGGCTGTCGAGTTGGCCGCGCGACGCTGCCCTACTCGACAACCGGGACGAGGAGCTGCTCAGGCAGTTGCAGACCGCCCAACGCGACCGCAACGAGCTCAAGGCCAAGGTCGACGCCCTCACTGACAAGGTGCGCGCCTGTCGCTTATGTGTGCCAATGGCCACTTGTCTTTGCATATACATACATACATACATACATTATGTATTACTTACGATGAACCCGCAAGTTCGATCACGCCAATACTAATTCCTGTAAAATTGCAAAACGAGTTCAACTGACGTGGCATCAATTGGAGATTAAATTAATTTAACGATATATAGATACAGTAGTTTGCAATAAAGTAACGTTCGAACAGAGGACAAACCGATGAGCTTTTGAAAAACACCCAGGTGAAGGCGCTCGAGAAGGATAAGCGCAGCCTGGAGCGGCAGATGTCGACCGCGCGCTCGAGCAGCTTCCGTAGTAAGAGTTACGAGCGCCACCAGGAGAAGCCGCAAGCCGAGGCCATCGGTAGTTACGAGCAACAGCTGGAGCAGGAGAACCGGGAACTGCGCGCCAGGATCCGCAGACTCGAGTCCCAGTTGGTGGAGCGCGAGGCCGAGATCGGCCGGCTTAGGTCCCAAATCTCCCACTCGCACTCGACGCTAGACCGTAGCGGCGAACTCGAGCGCTACCGGGCCGCGCAGCTGCAGGCCGAGAAGCTGCTCGAGGCCAGGGAGCAGAGCCACCGCCAGCAGGTCATCCGGCTCGAGAGCCAGGTTGTTTTTCTTATTGTATATATACTCTCTACTCGTAGCCGATTTTTACCGATTTTTCCCCCATGCCAGATCCACTCGCTGCGAGATCAGCTGAACGAGGAAATCAAACGCCGACAGCTCTACGTGCTCAGGTATATATTTATCCACCCTCGTTGTATATTTTATACGCGTGGGTACACAATAAATGGTACGATTGGTTGGTACGCAGGAGTTCGCGGGCAGGTAGGGAGATGCAGCAGCTGCGCCAGGCCCTGGGTGACTCGTTGCGGACGGTGGCGCAGGAGCCCTCGTTGGACGCGGTGTTGCTCGAGCACGAGGCTCGCAAGCTCGACTGCACGGTCAAGAGCAGCCAGCCCCTGAGCAGTTTGCCGGCTACCCTGGCCCTGCCACCACCGCCCTCGGACCACCACCGGCGCTCCCGCTCGCCCGCGCCGTCATCTACCTCCTTCGTCAATTGAGCGGGCGACGAGGAGACACTGCCTATTACACCAACTGCCGTCGACTCTATTATGTCATTGTATCGCGTTCGGAGATTTTTTTTCTTTTCCTTGTTTTTTAACAGATTTTTTAGGTAAATCGAGTAGCTGTAGGTGGAAAGTATTTTAACGATTGTTACCGTTTTATATACAAGAATTAGATGTATGTTTATCGTTGTTTTTTTGTTTTGTTGAGTTTCATCGATGTCATCTCCGGTTTTTTACTAGTACACCCAATGCACATTTCTCTTGATTGTCGTGATGTGTACGTGAACGAGAATCATTGGAGTGCTGTTGAATGCATTGATCGGATCTTACCGATTGATGACGTATAGTGCACGTATATGTTTATCAAATCATAGGTATTATTATAATTATATATTGCGCACAATTGATAATACAAAGCATCTACGACGTAGAATTATTTACTCCATATATTACAATTGGTTATTGTTTTATTATATCTCGAATAAGTATATATTTATATAAGTGAAGTATTTAACTAAAAAGAAACAGTAGAAAATATATGGTTAATGATGCAGTACTTTCTTTCTTTGGTCTCGTAGAAGAGACCAAAGTGGACAAAACGCGATCACTACTCGCAGAGAAAGTAAAAAATATATAAGTAGTAGATTACAAGTAACGTAATACAAGGTGAAGTGAAGAAAAATGATACCGCGCGTCCATAAGATTTCACGGTCTTTTGAAACCTTTGAAATTATTGTAATTGCCGTCCAATAATGCCGAAAGCTCGACTTGCATGAGATGTGTAGAACTTACAGAAAACACGTTTAATGAACTAGCCGCCGCCGTATGCAATGTAGCGGCTACCGTATATGTCATATAAATACCCAATATGTAACCATGAAGCAGTAATGGATTGTGTCAGTTCTCTTTTCATTGAGAATATCTAGACAAACAGTCCAGCCGATCGGCGTGAACTTGCAGATTGCGGATCATGAATTATTTATAATCATACATATAGTACCTACAGGTAGTCAAATGACGAGGACGTTGTTACGTTGACGGTGATCTCACATACCTATTTATTTATATATATAT